TATATTATATTATTATTATAAATAATATATTATTTTTCAAATAATATATAATATAATAACATTCATCAGTTGTCATTACATCTTGATGTGACAGATTGAACAATGCTAAGCTTGTGAATATTTTGTGGGCACTTCGAATTTGAGAAAACAAAAGAAATTATGTCAAACTTTAATTTTTCCGTCACCATAAACATGACATCAACATTATGTCAATTTCATCATTTGCGAGCATTCGGCGTACCGACGTCATGAGGTAACGTCACGTCATCATTTATTCTACAGGAGAGTTCGTCTTATTAAAAAAGTATAAAAAGATACTGTGAATCACCTCAGATTTGTTATACAACTTTGCGGAAAAGATCTGTTTATTAAAATTATCCCGGAGATGCCTTCAAACATAGTCAATCCCGAATCTAAATCCGAAAACATCCCTGGTGGTAGGTGGTACACGAGTATATCATTGAAATGATGGTAATTTATATAACATCCAGAACGTCAAATAGGATATCCAACTACACCAAAACCAGATCAATACGAAAAGGATTCGACTCCGATTCTCGAATCCAGACCTCCACAAGATCCCAACCGTCCATCGAGTGCAAATAATGTCAAACCTACTGCGGAGAACCGTGAGTAAACTGTTTATCAGTCAACATCATCTTGATTTTCACCAAAGCTATTCACGTCATCCGAAAAATACGTTATCACAGAATCTAACAATGTCCAACAGGGATCCAACGGGTCCTCCATAGATATGGTCAAAAATGAGATCCCGGAAACTCGTAGCCCGCTTCCCCAAAACGCTTTGGAATCGTACTCTCGTGACCTCAATGCAGTCGAGAGACCTACTTCTGGTAACAAAGAGAATGGCGTTAGGAATGAAGTTGTAAGGAGTAATGATTCTCACAAGGAAATTTCGTCGGCGTCTCCTTTCATATCAAAGGATTCGATTCCTTTCGATCTTAATGGCGACTATAACATTAAGAATGAGGATGACTCTACCAACGATTCTACGACTACTCCCATTGAAACATCTTCCGAAAGCATGACTTCTCGAGGTGAAAGTAATGAAGACTATACCATGAGGTATCACACGACTCCCGAAAGTTCGGCCTCTCGGGATAGAAATACAGGCAATCACACGAGAGGGCATCACATAACTCCTATTAAAACTTCTGAAAACTTAACTTCGAAAGATGAAAATACTGGCAATTATGCAAGGGAATACCGCATGACAACATCTCCCGAAAGCTTAAAAAATGAGAGTCCCCATTATAATACGCCAACCGATACGATCACAAATGGTTCTTCGTCTACCGATCACAAGAATAATATTGTTAATGTATTGTACACTATGAAAGAAATTAATCCCGATGAGGATGCGAATGATGTCAAAAAATCGGACCGCTCACCTCCTAAAACTAAGACGAAAGATAAAATTAATTCAAAGATCGGGTCGTTAAAGGTAACCAAGTGCAGTTAATTTTTATTAGTCGCAAATAACACTAAATATTTTTATTTCCTATATTAGAGCAAGATCAGCAGGCTGATGAAGAAATAATTATTCATATACAGTATTCATGTGGTAGAATTGTTGATCTTACTATATATAGCAATTATACCATTAATTGGTCTTACCAACTACTATTTTATCTATGTAACATTCTATTTGTATATTTTATATTTATTTGTACCAATAATAATAAAATTTTTCTGTAACACAAACTTGTATTCGATTAAAAAGGTTGGTTTTCATATTCGATTAAAAAAAAAGACAGTATATTAACTGAAAGTAGATCGAATCATTAATGAAAAAAAAAAGCCATAGAAAAATCAATTACGACATTCCCCAATACATCGAATGCGTATACACGAGGTGATTGAAAATCTCGTCTGGACAAGAAAAAAATATATACAGTATATACACTAGAAACTTCTTTTTTAAACAAAGTACATCACTTTTGATAAATTGGGAGAAACTGGGGGGTAGTCGAAGTCGTGGACACTGTTGCTACAGCTTCCACTTCGATTTCTGGGCGCATAACTACTTTCATTGCAAAAGACCTGGTCGGTTGGGTACAATCTAACGCGCGCTGCCAAAAGATGAGCGTATGAGATCGCCGGGACAATAGAGGTTGCGAAGGTGCACCTATACACAACAAAATGGCATTACGATGTAATATAGAAAATTCTGAACGTAGTTTGAAATTGAAAAATCGGTTACCTTGCATACAAATAACAGAGACGATAAGTTAATTTCTGGAAATCGTCGGCCGAGAAATGATTTTCATCGTAAAGAACAAAATAGCGTGTGGGACGCGCTGTACCTTGCACGCATGCATGACTTTGCAAGTCTGATGGGAAATAAAGTAATTCTTCAGATGCCGACCATAAAAAATTAGTAGTACCTTCAAATGACAAATAAGATACTCACAAAAGTCAAATTCTTTTGGATGAACAATTACACTATCGACACAAGTACCAGGTTGGCAATTGCCATTTCTATCACCAAAATTTCTTGTGTCGCTAGGAAAGAACCTAAAAAATCCATCCTTGAAAATAAATATATTTTTCGACAGGACAGGGCAATATCCCTATATATTCCACCATACCTTGTGTGATGCCTTTTTTGCGCGATCACAAAGGTCAACGTAGGCATTCCGCTCTTGTACACCTTTTCAAATGCCTTCTTCAATGCCATTATCTCCCTGTTGAGGACCGCCCGAAATTGCCCTTCGCTAACTCCGTCACGATAAAAGATCACTCTCACGGGCAAAAAAGTCGTTCTTTCCAGAAAGAACCTCAGCAGGTCGCATGTCATCTGCGAAATTCAAACAGAAGGATTGGTATTAAATTGCTGAATGATGAAATAGGATAGAATAAAAGTATACCGACGTCCTCCAATTGTTCGATAGTTTCGTTGCGAATTTCTCTATTGACGCTGTAACGCCCGCAGTAAACCTACTCAACAAGACATTCTATATAGCATCGGTTCCAGATTAGTGTGAGCAGACAAATGAAAGTCTCACCATTCCAGTTTTATCCATGGAAGCGCATACCGCCGCAATTGAAGGTTGTCCGGTCTGTCCGGAGCCGGGGTGTGAGATGTCAGCGCCCATTATAATGGTCTAGGAAGGGAGAACTCTTGGTTATAAAAATTTCTGGTGAATACAAAAGCCTAAGGAACGATGAGTGAACCCAAACTCACCGGCTTTGAAGCCACAAATGTTAATTGGCCTTTTTTAAGTTCGCAGTTGCGCCCCCCGATCTTCGCGTTGATTTTTAGCGCGATATTCGACAATAGACTCTTATCCCGGGACTTTTTTATCTTTTCTGAAACGATACACTGGGTAGCAACTCCTAACTCAGTATCAGCTATCTTTTTGATTGCCCCGTAGGGTTGGGATGACTTTTTCTGAATGACCACCAAGATAATGTGGACCTTAGAGTTAACATTAACCCGGGCCTTTTCGTGAGCAATGGCAAGCAACTGTAATTTAGAACGGTATATTAATTGATGGTTGTGACTGGTTGAAAAGTACTCGGTTTTGTATTAACTTACCTGCCTCAAATCTCCTTGCGGACTACCGTTATGAATTTTCGGATGGGTTTTAACGTTCTAGATGAAGAATTTATTTTTTAAAAATCTATATATATATAATTAAGAATTTCAAAATTTACATACAACGCCTCTTTCTTTCAGAGTTTTCTGCAATTCAACGGTAAAGGTATCGATGATGTGTGGAGAATCTTTGGTTAGGACCAGAACACTCCAATTCTCAAGAACGCGTGCCTGAAATTAAATTAAAGAATCAGGAGAGATTTTTAGGGATATTCCATTGCCGATATGAAATAATTACTCCGGGAAAAATCTTATTCACTAAATTCCATCTTCCGAATTTAGGTGGAAACTCAGGCTCCTGACTATTTCCATCATAAATGAGAATCGGAGGATCCAAGAGTCTTCCTGAAAAAAAATTGAACCTGACTTAGTATGATTTTTTTTTTAAAAATATATATATATATATAGAATAGGAAAAAAAATTAAAAGAAAACCTGATCACCTTCTACTTCGATCATCTTTTGTTCTATTTGAATTCCAAAATCACGTAAATTCTCATCTTCATTATACTTGTAGTAATTCTCGATACCTTTATTAATATCTCCGAATCTTTCATGTGGTTTTAAAGCTGTATATTTTATCATATCAGCTTTCGCTTTGTCATCAAATGATTTCTCGAATCGTTGCCCTGCAACAAATAGAAATGTAAGTGGAGCAGGTTTTGTAAATAAAATCATTTTTCTGTGATACACACCAGGTAACACATCGCAAACTTCCATTGGAATATAGTTGGTTCTCTTCACGAGGATGCATGGTAGCAAGCCAAACTCAAGACGGTGATGATACTGCTGATAAAAATATTCCGACACAGACATTTTTTGTCCTTCTTTTTCGAACGTAAGGTAGTCGGCCGCTTCGGACGATAGACGTTCGATCTTGAACTTTGGGCTTTTGTCCCCACGATGAATCACGCGTATTTGGACTGCTCTCAGAACCTGAAGAATTTTTTATTGAGAAGGATTATTTGAAAATAAATTAAACAATATATATATTTTTTTATTTATTTTTTCCACTCACGCGTTCCAGTTGTCTTTTCTCCATATCGGTAATGCCCCTTCTGAATTCATTGATACTTCGTTTCATTAAAATGCTCTTTGCAAATTCCAACAACGAACCGGCCGGATAGAAACAAGCCGCGCATAAATCTACATTTATCACCAGTTGACCTAATAATACATTTTTTAGTACCGGGAAATTTTCTCTTAAAAGGATTTCAAGGGTCTTACCCATTCCCGGGCGAATTGATTGACAAAATCCTTGTTTTAATTCTATTCCATTCGCTAAAATTTTTTGCCGACCATTATTTTCTGGAAAAATTCCATTCTTCACGACAGCGAAGGTACTCCGGGGTTTATAATTCAACACCGTGTTCAAAAGCGAAAAGCAGGTTTGAACTTCCCCAGTAAAGGGAACGCGGCCATTTATGTAGTCTTGGATGCACGTTAAATTGATTTGCGCCAATTTGCTGATGATTACCTTAAAGGTTTTGGCTCGTACCTTCCCTCCCGCAGGAAGGGTAACCTTTCAAAAAAAAAAAGAAAGAAGTAAAAATTCATGTGTCAGGAAAAAATTGAAATTTTGTTTGTCTTACCGAAAATTGTTCTTCACCGTCATTCCCAATTGGCAAAGGTTGACGTGAGTATATGCTGGAGCTCCCGTCGAAGACAGGAGACGCGTCCCCAAAGATATTCTGCATACCCATGGTTGCAAAGATCTTGAATGCCAAGACACTTTTTATTGGTCGGGAAACCGAAATCACGACAAATTTATAGTGGAAAAAGAATTCTTTTCGAAACTTTTTATATGCAAAAAATTTATTAGTAAAAGGGAGAAACGAGATTCTGTGAATTCCTCGAAAAAGAAACGAATTATCACATCATGAATTCGAAAGTTGTTTGTTCTGAGTCTGAATGGACGCCCTTCTGTACCAAAGTTTGGACGAACGGCAAATTGCAGATCAAGGACATTTTGAATTTCGAAATTTCGTGACTTCTTTGATGTTTCACTTGAATCGTCCGATGGATCTTTTGAGTGTTTTGACATTTCTCACAGTTGCAAGAAGAAATACGAGGAAAAAAAGGACGAGAAGAAATTCTCATACGCTTTATATGAATTTCGACAAATACAGTTAGTCATTATTAACCTAAAAACGTTGAAAGTCTACTTCTGACAAGCGAGAAATCCTGAGCGAGCTTAATCCAACGAGTTTCCATGATACTTTATAAATCCATGTTTAATTATAAAAAATGACGATCGTCTGCTGACATGTTAATACTTGGAAATCCTCTTGAAACATCAAGAAAATCCATGACAAGAGAAACTTTTCATTTATCCTTTGACAAAAAAAAAAGAACCTATGTCCTCATTCTTGTCGCGTACAGATGTAAAATAGTATCTAAAAGATGAGTCACTGGGGGAAATTATTATTTCCTTTTACGCAGAGATATGAGATAGTATAAAAAATGTCATTGAGAGAAAGTAAATCATGTCTTAAGACATTTGCGACAATATTTAATATGTATGTGAGGGTTAATATATTTATTGGTACCACTTTGATAACGAAAAAATATATTACTCTACATTTTCGAGTTTTATGGAAAGGAGATCTGGTCGAGTTGATGGGATCGATGCTTTCTTCCACCCTTCCGGAAACCTTTCTTTAAAAAACATTTCACAAATTTTGCATCAACCGTACCATCAGTATCTTCAAGAGTCTCATTTCACCAGTTGAAAGAAATTTTTGCATAAAACCATGAATAAATTCCTCGTTCAATTCTTTAGAATTTCGAATCCTTGCACTATTAACGATTCTACTCCTATCTTTCCGTCAACACATAACGATCGACCGATTCTGGATTAACTTGATGACTTTCCCCGAGGGCAAAATCTTCTCGGGTGAGAGACGCGTCGTGTTCTATCGCGTTGTGAATATTTAGGTCATCAAGGTCAAAAATTTGAAAAATAAACTTTGAGCTTACATTTTTCCTACTGAGAGCTTTCCGATAAGGAGAAAACTCGCTCTGGTAAGCTTCCTGTAGGGCTCTTTCTAATTGATCCGGTGTATTGCCGAAATAGCAATATGCCGTATGGCACCATTTGAAAAAATTTCTCAATCTTTTATTACTAAGTTCAGCAATAATTCAGCTGCTGAATGTCAAGTATCAATCTGCTAGAATTAGTAATAGTATTTTCCCATCACTATAATCTTTTTGTTTATTTAAGATCTTATTTTGGAACAATTGTTATAATTGTCTATTTTTAGCTCTCTTAGATAGTAGATAGATTTGATGAATACTAAGCTTGTACTTTGTTGATAGGAAGTTAACTTCCATTATATACAGCAATTCTTTATTTTTTTATAGATTCAAGCTTTTTTTTAAAGTTCTAATTAATCAAGAATTCTACTTCTGATTTTCTAGATTTCGCTTTATTATCTATATGAAAAAACTTATACATTGTTTATAATTTAAAAGCAAATTAGCTATTTCTTCTATTAGTTTTATTTTACTAATACTCAGAATATCTATATTGAGTTTTTCAATAAGATTATATAAATTTTATTAATCTAAGCTTGTGTTGATATCTTTAACATTATGTGTATTAATAAATAAGATATTATCTAATAAGGATATATCTATATATAATATTAATAGTGTATAATATTTTCTTTTTTTTTATTTTTAAATATTATTATTTTTTATCATATTAACAAAATTATTATGATACAATATATAATAACAAGTATATCATTAAAAAAAAATAGTTTTTGTATTTAATAATTCTTTTATAATATCAAATTTTTTTCTAAAAAGATTTAATTCTTCTTGAAAATCTAATTAATTTGCTTCTTGCTTTCTATTTTGCTTAGAAATTGTTATATTTATTTTTTAATTTTTTTTTATTCTAATATTTAATTTCTTTAGATTTATTAGAATAAGTTGTATTAATTACTATTATTATCATTCTATTCTATTTTTGTTTCTTATAATATTTTATTCTATTCTATTATACTAAATATATTTTATAATATTTATTGAAATTTTTTTTATTATGGAAAATTCTTTTCTATAAATTTTTAATCATATTTTCAAAGAAGCATTCCTTCAAAATTTTATGTTTTGAAAATAATAAAACTTTAAAACTTTCTTTAAAAACACCTGCTTTATTTAGTAATAATCATATTCTATTCTTATTGTTAATTTTTTCTTTTTAAAAACTCTCTAACTAAGAAGTTAATAACAAGAAAGCTTTTTTAGAAAAAAGAAACCAGATAAAAAAATATCTATCTTCTCTTTTCTATGAAGGTTTCAAGGTCTAGAAAGAAGTATTGATCAATAACTCCATATTAATCTAGAAAACTAACATTATTATCATAGGTAAAAACAGCTTTTTTTAGTATATAGCAGTTTTTTCTTGATTTTTTGAAAAATTTTATTTATTCTAGCTTGATCCTAAATTTTTGTTGCATTAGATTTTGGATAAATTTATTGACTGAATATTGGAATTGATTGTTTTATAATTAGTAAAAATATAAATAAGAATATAAGTGATACATAACATGGATATATTTCTTAAGCTTTATAAGAATTTTAAATTTATCATAAGTTATATAGCTATCATGCTAATGGATAAACATCATATAAACTGTAATTGTCTCTTTCTTATTACTTTTTAAAAGTATTATAACTATGAAATAAGTACTTCTTTTACTGAAATGGAACTTCAAGAACTCACTTTACTTAGAAAAGATATAACAATTTTTCTATTCCAAAATTATTCCAAAGCTTTTCCATTCTGATTCAAATAGTTTTTTTATTCTTATATGCCATATAATACTACTGAACTTATACTCTTTCTCTGAACACACTTAGTATTAGTGACAGGTCATAATTATTAGGATTATAAGAAAGGTATATTTCTTCTTTCAAGAAACTAGCAAGTCAATTATGGCAAGTTAGTTGGAAAGGATCTGAAAAAATTAAAAATTCAAATAAAAGGTATTTAGTTTTTCTAGATAGTAATAGTAGTAGAAATTTAATCCAACCAGATATTTTTGAGTAACAAACTATTCAATAAATTTGTTAAAGGTCAGGTTTTAGGGAGTTTAGTGATGTAAATAATATATAGCTTCATGTGACATCTTTGTAATCTTTGTATTAATTTGTATATTATATTACACTAATTGAAAAAAAATTATTCAGCATACTGCCACTCGTATAATATTCAGCAAAAAATACTATCACTCATATAACATTCAACAAAAAATAAACAATTCAGCAAAAAAAAATAACATAAATAAATCAGCAACTACAAAAATTGTCAGTCAAAACTATTCAATAAAAATTCATCAAAAATTCATCAACTATTCATCCACTATTCGTCAACTATATTTGCAACTATTCGTCAAAAATTTATTTACCATTCGTCAACTATTCGTCAACTATTTGTCAACTATTTGTTAACTATTCGTAAACCATTCGTCAATCATTCGTTAACCATTCATCAAACATTTGTCAAACATTCATCAACTATTCATCAAAACTATTCATTAAAAATTTATTAATAATTCATTAAATTATTTATTAACTATTCATTT